TGCTCTTCTCTTGCCACTACAGAGGTGCAAAAACTTTGCCCTTTATAAAACAGGACAGTGAGGATGGCCACCTACATGGGCATAGAAAGAGCCACATGGAGCCAGTAATATAGAAACTCCCTAGCACTAATACTCAAGGAAAGTGCCAAGTGGTACTCATCAAACACTGATCAAGGTCCAGTTCTGAGTAAAGCACCTGAGACTCCATTTGAAAATGTTAAAAATACATGAGAGACCATGAATAGGCTGAATACATGGCTCAGTGGGTGATAATACCTGCTGGCTTTCCAGAGGCCCCAGGTTTGGTACCTAGTAAACACAGACTCACAACCTCATGTAACTCCAGGTCCAGAGGATCTAAAGCATTCTTCTGTTACCCTCAAGTATACACACACACTACACCCACACATAATCACATACACACAAATATACAAATGCACATAAACACAAACACACACAATTACACACATGCATAAACACACTCATATACATACACACATGCGTACACTCATATATACATACACACATACATACACATATACACACATGTATATAAACACACACATATATACACATGTGTAGATGCACGCACAAATACACACATGCATACACACACACAAACCACCTAAAATTTAAAAAGAAAAATCATAAAGTAAGATCCAATAAGAAAGTTCCCGTTTGCCAACAGAGAGTCACTGGACCAGCCATGGAGGGAAAGGAAGAGGAGAGTAAGCACTGTCCCATACTCCACCACAGTCTGGACCAGGCCTGTCAGGCAAAGGGACCTTACAGGATTCTTAGGACAGAAAGACGGCCACAAACAGAAGATGCCAGTGTTAACGTCGTGGGAGTTCTAAGCAATCTATCTTAGGCAGCAGTGGAGTGTCAAGAAAGTCAGTGTTCCGGCACTGACGCAGCGCGCTTACACTTATTTTGCTGGAATGGAACCAACCTACACCCAAGAAATGTTTTCTAATGAGGGCAAAATAAATCCTTGTTACATCCAGGCACTTAGAATGGGAGAGGGGAAAATGTTCTCCCTGGTGGGCATTAAGCAACCAGAAACCTTCTCCTTTAAAACACCTCCCCTTCTCAGTGTGCGTCTATCAGAAGAAACAGCTGCCAAGTGACCACATGAGTTCCACTGAGGACATAAAGCGCCCAAGAACTCAAATCCTGATAACTGCAGCAAATCGTCATCCATACAGCTGAAGCATCCTTCCTTCCCCCATGTCAGTGACTGCAGCCTCCTCATGATTTTATGCTTTGTGGACTGCAGAAGATGCATGCTTTACGGCTTTCACCAAGACTAGTCGGTGCAAACGTGTCTGATGCAATTGCACTGGGAACAGGGAGATAAGCGATTGTGACAAGGGAGAGTGTCAGGGATAAAGAAATTCTCAGAACAAATGACTGTCGTATCAATCCCATCAAAAGCACGTTGGAGGTGCCTTACTCCACAGCCAAAGAAATGCATGAGCGTGGTCACCTTTGCTCATTTCATTACATTCTTTGCAGGCTAGGCAGAGAGTTGGTCGGGGAAAGAGACAGCAGTTTCTGGATGCCAGTGACATGCCGGTTCTCCACCAAGCCCTGATCATGTCCGTGTTCTCTGGAATCCGAGTGAGAACCGATGACTACTCCCTTTACAATAAGGAGGAGCTTAGGTCAGTGGGTGAAAGGGCAAAGCCATCCGACTCTAGCACCCGCACTCTTTGCCCTCCTTTACATTACACGGTGCTGCGATATTCTCCCTACTGGCCTTCCAACTTCTCCGCTCTCCAATCCATCCTCCTCTTCAGTAAAAGACTTACTGTTCTAGAATGAAATTTCTATCATGTCTCCATGCCCTACAGTATAAATTCCAAACTCCTCTGAAAAGCATGGGAAGGGCCTTCAAATCCCACCCGTCTATTTCCCACAGATTCATCTCTGCTCGCCTCCTCCCACCCATCTCAGTCCAAGCTGTGCTGACCATTGTAGCTTTCTCTCAAGTCACTGAGATTCCCTTCAGCTATGATCTACCTAAATGAACCCCTCTCGCTGGTGGAGGGTATGAGATGGGCAATCAACGTGCCTACCAATAAACCCTGCATCGTTCACTTACCACCCAGGTAACTCAGAGCATATAACTTCACCTCCTGGTGTCTGTTTCCACATCTATAGAGAGGCACCAAAGACAATCTTTATGGGATAGATAGCTGTAGGATTAAAGGAGATAAATACCCATAGAACATCCCTAGACTTCTGATTTCCTGGCTTTTGGGGGTCTAACACTTTTCAAATAGTTCTAATTCAAAGAATTCAAATTATTGGTTACATGCTTCTTCTTTCAGATCTTTCCAACTAATTTGTGTTAGACTAGACTACTCCTGTATTTTGTAAGCTATTTAGTGATCTCCCTGGTTTCTAACCACGAGATATCTATAGTACCTCGGCTGTATGACAACCAAAAATGTCTCTGCATACAGTCAAATGCTACCATGGAGGCAAACTCCATACTTCCACACCTCCCTTGGGAAATGCCGCTTTGAGACTTGAGTTACAGCTCAGTGCTAGACCACTTGTCTACCATCTGCAAGACCGTGGGTTCGGTCTATCAATTCCAATACTGGCCTCATAGAAGAACATCTATTTGATGCTCCAAGCAAGTCAAACAGTTGCATCCATCACCAGCCTCTTTGGAATGTTTATAATGCCACAGTCTAAACCCTTCCTAGTGAATTCCTACTTTTAGACTTCCAGCATCCAAAGGGCAGAAGAGTTTACATTTTTTTGATAATAAAAATTAGAGCTCAGGGAGGCTAGCAACTTCCTCAAGCTGTGTCTTGGTCTCGTCCTATCTAACTCCAGCACCCAATTCATAACTTGCTTCCAGAGGAGCTCGGTAGCAATTTCAAGAATGAATACATAGATGGATACATGACCCGAAGAAGTGATGAATGAGACCATCTCCTTCATAATAACTATCATTTTCTGACTCTCAGGGACAGTGAACTATCAGTCTCTCAGACATGCCACAGTATAAAAATGATTCAATTTATCAGAAAATCCACCCCAACTTTGGTTATTCCAAACTATTTGGGCATTTTGTCAGAATTTTGCTGTTCCGAATACTCTGTATTTGCTCTCAGTAATGTAAACTATGCCTTCGAGCTTTGATTTATCACATTTTCAAAGTAATCTGCACCGAAATCTAAATTTCTATCCACTGGTCACTCCTTCCCAACTACAGTGAGATGCAGTAATATTTCTCAAAGAGATCACAACTCAAAAAAAAACCCTTCCAGTTATTAAGGAAAATCACTTTTAAATATTATGCTTCTTAGAAGCTCTATATCCAGTGCTGGGCAGGGACAAAGTGAGCAGTTGTCGCACTAATCCACAAGCATGAATATTTGCACACACGTGAAGTATCAAGACTTGAAGAGCAAACACAATGACTTAATTTTTTATTGGCAACTAAAACTACTTAATGTGTACTGTGATAAATACTATAGATAGGCATGATAATAAACCCTATGTCATAGCAGACAGACTGGAAAATATCCCAAGTCTAAGACTAATACTAAATAACTATGGAGAAAAGAAACAAAAAATTCTTTCTGTTAAATGCAAGGCACCCCAGTTCTTCTCTAGTTCATAAGTAACAGAAAGATTGAATGCAGGCACATATTTGAGAGAGAATCAAGTTCATCATAGAACAAGACTTGTGAATTCAGTGAATGAGACAAGGTGCATCCCCTTACTCTGAATCCCACATAGCTGACACCTCAGTGTTTAGAAAGTTACTCAGTCCTTTAGAATGTGTTTCTTCACTCAATGAGTGAGGTCAATAATGCCATCATCGAACACTGTGTTAGTTTCATCCCCACGGAAAGTATCTGAGGAAGCCAACTTAAAAGAAGAAAGAGTTGTTTTGGTCACAGTTGGGAAGTGTTAACCATGTTTGCTTGGCTCCATTATTAGGGGCGTGTGTTGAGGCAGAACAGCATGAAAAGAAGCGTGTAGCGGAGCAAAAGCTACTCATCCTAGGGTTGCTAGGGAACTGGAAGACAGGCAACAAGAGTATGCCAGGACAAGATCTGCCTGAGACAAGCAGGTCCAGACCAACCTTCTCTTTCCATCAGACACCACCTCCTAGTTTTCATCACCTCCCAGTAATTCCATCAAGGTATGAATTCATCAGTGGATCCATCCACTGATGAGATTTGGTCCTCATGATACAGTCGCTCTTAAAAGTTCATCAGTTGTTAACCAAGCCTTCAGTGTTTAAGCCTTTCAGGATACATCATATCCAAACTACAACTATCGTTGTTGTAAAGGTTGTATGAAATAATATATGTAAAGTGCCCACTTCCTAACAGATGTCTATAGAACTTTGTCAATTATTATAACATCATCTTGGGTGTATACACTGTTCATGTAACAGAGGAATCAAAGAGGTAAACAAACCGTGACTCAATCTCACTCATATGTAGAATATAAGAGTCGATGAGTTCCAACCCCCGAATCCATGAAAAAATAACAACAACAAAAAAAAAAAAAACAGGCATGGTGGTATACACTTATGATCTCAGCACTGGGGAGCCGGGGTAAGGAAGATCCCTGGGGCTCACCAGGCAGCCAGACTCACCTATTTGACTAGTGCAAGTCTAGTGAGAGACAATGTCTCAAAAATAAGGTATATGGTTCCTGAAGAATGACAAAATCAGAGTTAATCAACATGTATTAGTGGACTTGAATTTGAAAAATCTAAAATCCTTTTGCCTGCTGCCACCTCTGGTCACCATATCTGAAAATGTATGGTACATAACACAGCCTAGTCCCATCTCATGGTCCCTCTACTACCACACTGGCACATCCCTCACTTGCTGGCCTCTTAGAAATATTACAAATGTGACTTCCGCAGAGAATATTTCCCTGACCCACAAAGGCCATATCTGTCCACCATCCATTGCCAAAGGCTGCTGTATGTTAGACACATACTCTCAGCTCACCTGGATCAATGTCTCCAGCTCTTGGGGGCTCACACAGATGTGATCTCTCAAGAATTCTGCCTTCTCCAAGGTGATGGTGTTCTTTTGACTGCTCTCAAAGGGCTGTTCCAATGCCCGGAAGACAAGGCCACCTGTGACGAGGTAGACCACCACCACCACAAAGATGGCAACCACCGTTTTCCACTTCATAACTGTCTGCAGGCCTCCTTGGGAGGCTCCTTCCATCCTGGCTACCACCGTGGCTCGGGAGGAAATGGAGAGGCGGGGAACTGGATGCTGCCCGTTAGTGGCACTCTTGGGCTGGCACGCTGGTGGAGCTGCTGCAGGCACGGCCACTGGGGAAGCAGGTAGAGAAGAGGAGAGAATTTGCTCATCAGTACAATACACTAAACTCATCAGAAACAAGGAACATATGTCTTCCTTCAGCAGCCTTCCCAAATGTAAGGATGAAAAACTCGTTTACCAGGACTGCAGGGGGAGAATTTGATCCGTTGTTAAATACCTGGTTTTGGCTGTTAGTTTTTAAATGAGTTCTTAAAAGTGAGCATCAGGAGTGCTGATTCTAAAGGGAAGACTAGCAGTGAGTTAGAAACACTTAGATCGTCCTACAAGGAAGGACCCAAACAGAAAAGCCATCTATATTTATTTATACCTCATCTGCTCCCTCGGCTCCCATGTTCAAGTATGTACAAATCATCATACTTGAAAAACAAGCCTATTATTCAGACTGAAGAAAAGTAAACAGAAGTGAGATACATGGTTATTCTGTTCAAGTACAAAAGAGACATCTAGGGACTTTTTTATTATTAATTATTTATTAAAGATTTCTGCCTTCTCCCCGCCACCGCCTCCCATTTCCCTCCCTCTCCCCCGGTCAAGTCCCCCTCCCTCGTCAGCCCAAAGAGCAATCAGGGTTCTCTGCCCTGTGGGAAGTCCAAGGACCACCCACCTCCATTCAGGTCTAGTAAGGTGAGCATCCAAACTGCCTAGGCTCCCACAAAGCCAGTACATGCAGTAGGATCAGAAACCCATTGCCATTGTTCTTGAGTTCTCAGTAGTCCTCATTGTCCGCTATGTTCAGAGAATCTGGTTTTATCCCAGGCTATTTCAGACCTGGGCCAGCTGGCCTTGGTGAGTTCCCGATAGAACATCCCCATTGTCTCAGTGTGTGGGTGCACCCCTCGCGGTCCTGAGTTCCTTGCTCATGCTCTCTCTCCATCTGCTCCTGATTTGGACATTGAGATTTCAGTCCTGTGCTCCAATGTGGGTCTCTGTCTCAGTCTCCTTTCATCGCCTGATGAAGGTTAATATTCAGGAGGATGCCTATATGTTTTTCTTTGGGTTTCTTATTTAGCTTCTCCAGGATCATGAATTATAGGCTCAATGTCCTTTATTTATGGCTAGAAACCAAATATGAGTGAGTACATCCCATGTTCCTCTTTTTGGGTCTGGCTTACCTCACTCAGGATAGTGTTTTCTATTTCCGTCCATTTGTATGCAAAATTCAAGAAGTCATTGTTTTTTACTTTGGAAAGCAGTGTGGCAATTTCTCAGGAAATTCAGGATCAACCTACCCCTGGACCCAACAATACCACTTTTGGGAATATACCCAAGAGATGCCCTATCATACAACAAAAGTATTTGCTCAACTATGTTCATAGCAGCATTGTTTGTAATAGCCAGTATCTGGAAACAACCTAGATGCCCTTCAATGGAAGAATGGATGAAGAAAGTATGGAATATATACATATTAGACATCTAGGGACTTTAACAGGCTATCTTGGACACCAGGGAAATGGTGCAGGCAAGCATGAAGTTCGGAGTTTGATCCCTGGAACCCATAAAATGCCAGGTGCAGCCAGGCAGTGGTGGCGCATGCCTTTAATTCCAGCACTCAGGAGGCAGAGGCAAGTGGATCTCTGTGAGTTCGAGGCCAGCCTGGTCTACAAAGAGCTAGTTCCAGGACAAGTTCCAAAACTACAGTGAAATCCTGCCTTAAAAAAAAAAAATCCAGGTGAAGCAACCCACCCCTGTGACCCTAGCACTGTGGGTGGAGACAGGCAAATGCCTGGTTTGGGTTAGTCAGCCAGTCTATCCAACCATTGAGTTTCTGATTCATTGAGAGACTCTGATTCCAAGCAATAATGTAACAGTGGGAAACACCTGACTCTGACCTACAGAGAGAGAGAGAGAGAGAGAGAGAGAGAGAGGCACACATACCCACATGCAAACAAATCCACATACAAATACATACTCATACATATATGTGCCCCCCAAGAAAAACAAAAGACACACACAAACACAGAGAGGTGAAGGCGTGCATAATCAAAAGCCTCTCTTCTCACAAAGAAGGGAAGACACTGATCCCAGGCTAAGGAAGAAGGGTCAAAGGTCAGGCACAGTAGAGAGGTTTGGGACTTGCCAAGATAGGTGGCTATAATTGGGGAAGGAAGCAAGAGTGATGGTTTATGTCAATTAGCCCTCTTGCCTGAAAAAAAAAATAGTAAGAATAAAATAGATCCCGAGTGCATTGCCTAATAGGAAATGCAATGACTTTGGTGTAACCACTTCTGAGCTATTAGCAATGGAATTTTTTTCTCCAGTTGTCATCCAATAAGAAGCCACTAGAAATGAAATTTCCCCTAGTGCTCGGAACACAAAATTTATTAATGTCCCCAGGTCTCTATTAAGGCAATTTCATTACTGTAAAAATAAATACATTAAGCTGGCAGTTTCTCTGCCCGTGCGGGAGGTTAGAGTTAATGGCACGCGCTACAGACTTCTGTCTTGTGCGTCAGTGAGCATCACAGCACTTAGATACATTCTAGTTTTCATTATCCTGACCCTCATTATGGCCTCTGCTTGGGCAGCACCCGGGCTGTTGTGTAAATAAGGTATTAGCGCATATGTGACAAATAATACTGCCCCCGTGGGGTACCATCTCTAGACTGGAGTTGTCACGGTGATTCTGTCATGTCACCGTGTCGTTGAAAATAGGCCTGACCTGATCAGGACCACACCTGGCTGGAGGCATGGTTGTTTAGAAAAATCAATTGTTATAAATATCTGCTTCTTTGGGCCCTAGAAATCCGTTTTTCTCTTTGAAACCATGCTGACAACCCATCCACCTTTTACTAGATATTACTCTGTTCAACAGTTACTCAATATTAAAATCTTCTTGGACTTAATGTGAAAACAAAGTTCTCCGTGGTCTCCACACTGCCTAGAAATCAGAATCATCCAGTCAGGCGTTCTTGTCTTTGGCCCTCCTCTAAAGGCACTGAACTGGGGCTCCCACTTGCCCTTGTAGACGCCCACCCCCGGAGAGTCTTTTTGGTCTAGGACAGTTGTGCTCCAGCACTTCTGCCTTCCCGTCCATGACAACAGCCTCATGCAGGCTATCGGCATGTCTTGTCTAGACCAACCATGCAGGCTATCGGCATGTCTTGTCTAGACCAACCTAGTAGGCTCCTAAGTCACTTCCCCATTTCTACTTCTACCCAACTGAAACCTTACTTCTTGAAGTACCTCTTCCCATTCACCCCAAGGTTGGCAGAAAATAATACCCTCCAAAGATACCCACACCTTAATCCAACACCTGCGAAGACATTACCTTATGTGACAAGATGTGGGCAAAGATGTTGAAGTGAAGAGACTATCCTAGACTGTGGGTGTGGTCACAAGACCACAGGACAGCCATGCAGGTGACGAATAAAGGCAAAGGCAGAGGTGGGAGTGAGTCGTGCAGCTGTGAGCCAAGAGATACGGTCTCACTAGAAAATGGTTCTCCCCTACAGCCTCTAGAAGAAACCAGCTAATTATAAATTGCTCTTTGAGGCCGCTATGTTTGTGGTCCAAAGAAATAAACATACTTCTGCTAGATTGGTCTCCCTGGCCCAGCACCCACTGCCCCAGGCTTCTAACATAACAAGCTCACCTCCCAGATTCCTCGTTAAACTAAAAGATCTATAGTGAGGCATCATATCAGCCCCCTCTCTTCTGTGTCCCCAGGAACCAGCATGGTGACTGACGCACAGTAGGCAGCCAACCAATGATGACCTGATAAGGCATTAGAAAGGGAACGGAGGAGAGTTGGCACAGTGCAGTCTCACGCACACAGCACAGAACAAGCTTTGTCAAACTAAAATTAATGATGAGGCACCAGTAGAGAAAAGCTGGCCTTGCACACAGCAGCACCCTGTTCTAACCACCATATAGCAGCCACGAATCTGCAAACTCATACCTACATGGTTCTCAGCCCAAAGTTGCTTCTTCCTCTGTGAAATCTTTCTGAACTCTTCTGTGCAGGGTCACCACTCTGTCTCCACAGCCTGTCTTCCCACAAGTCTGTATGCTTTTGGAGTCAGAGATCATCACTCTTTCCTTGTCTTTCTTATTTACACAGCTGTGGTTTTACTATGTAGCCCAGGTTATACTTAATCTTGAAATTCCATCTCCGTCTCCCAAATGCTGGGATGAGAGAGGAAGTCCATTTCAGTTCTTGGTATAGCGCCAAAGAAAGGGCGTTTGTTTCCTATTGCTGTTGTCAGTCATTGTTAGTAATGATTATGTTAAACTGCATGCAATCACAAGCTCAGAATTACCACCAACAATAAGCACTGGCATTAATTACCTCGACAGTAAGCTTTTGCTTAACACTGAATGGACATGAGAGGCTAGGCAAGGTGCCTCCTGGCTCCTTAGATAGCGGATTGGGTTCCCCACTTCCAGAGCTCAGCAAACTGCTGTGTACCAATATATTGTCCTGTCCCTCCCAGGCTGAATGCTGAGACATCAGTCCTTACATTGGATCCTTTAATTTGCCTTGTGCCCTTGGCTTCTGATCATTTGTGGATAGATATTAGCCAGGTTCTGAGTTCTAAAATTTCAAACAAGGCTGACTAAAGGATGCCAATCCTTGGCCACCATGATCACTTCCCACCAAGGGCAACTTGATCATCTGACGTCCCTGATCCTAAATATCATATGTTCCACCTCTTCTTAGTGCCCCCTAGAGAAAAGCCCTGTAGTCCTTTGACTGATATCTTTATAAAGCTCTGAAGCCACCAAAAGTAGTCATGGCACCGTACTCCAAAGAACTGGAACCCAACTGCTGGAGGAGTGGGGTGTGTTATGATTAAAACAAGTGTGTAAATTAAGTATTAAAATGTTAAACTTTTTATTGATTTTTATTGAGCTCTACATTTTTTCTGCCCCCTCCCTGCCTCTTCCCTCCCCTTCAACTCTCTCCCAAGGTCCCCATACTCCCTATTTACTCAGATCTTGTCTTAAAAAATTAAACCTTTGAGTAAATGAATAATCTTGCAGTTGGACA